AGTACGACATCTATTGATATTTTATTAAAATAAATGACTGAAAGACAAATTTAATTTAATGTTAAAGTATATCATCTTTATCTGTATATACTGTTTCAAAGAGGATAAAATGCTTGTTTTACCAAATATGTAAAGAAAACCCAACAAAAACCCAACAGATTATTTAGTGGCGTTACACAAAGGTTGTGTTGTGTGATGCTGTGTAACAGCCTTTTAAATAATTTGTCATATTTCACTGGTTACACCAGCTGGGAACGGCACACAAAACAGAGACCTAAGTATAGATACAGGATTTAAAATTTGTCAACAAGTTTGTTTCATCTTTTGCCTAATCGCACTCATGGCAGCTGTGAATAAGTGAGCTAAATGCCCTACAGTGTAAATGTTGATATACGTTACCTGGCATCAAGAGAAGGAAAACTAGAAATCCACTCTGTCCTCTTGGTAAACTCATATCTGCTCCTCTCATCTCCTTTGATGGCTTCAGTCGCAATGAAACATGTCAGAAAGGAACTAACATAGACAAGACATATCTGTGGAATTAAACACTTGTACTTCTATTCAGAAACAGTGGACGTTTCTTGAAGATGAACCTTCAGGGTGTGAGCAGAAAACACAGCTGAAGCTGATATACCACCATACTTCCTTCCCTTTCACAGTATGAACTGTGAAACAGAGGCCAGAAAAAAAAAAAACAACAAGAAAATAAGGTTGTTACTTATCAAATATATGAGCTTTATAATGCACTGTATAGAACTTGTTGGCTTTTTATCCTTATTTGAAAATGCAAGAAAAAAAAAGTGTGTCAAACAATGTCAAGCACAACGAGACTAAGCTCCTGAAAAAGAAGTTGTGGAAAGCTTTCATGACTTCACATTTAAAAAAAACACTAAAATGTTCTTCACACCATGATGTGAAACTTGTACAGCACACTCACAAACTGTAGTGATTAAAAATAACCCAACGTCAACCACACCGCTGGGTTGCTATGGGAAAGAACAAGCGCTGGTTTGGGTTTATCATTTAACCCAGAGTGCTGCGTGGTTCCTAGTTCTAAACCAGTGGGTGAAAAATGAACTCTTTTGCAGCGTAAGGCTGAATAAATCATAATGTACCACAGTAAACACAGTAAAATGTGGAACTTTTTTAGTTATGTTAATAAGACTGACTTTAACTGACTTGAGTCTATAAGAAAAGGAAATTGCAGGTTGTAATCACTGGAACTCAGGGCCGTGCAGAGACCTTTGAAGGGGCAGGTGCTCAAAGTTAAAAGGGGGCGCATGGAGCATGAACTAGAAAACACCATACAGACACATACCTTACAAGATAACTGGCTGAATTGTAGCAACCCCATACTCATACAGAACGCAACATGGAATCACAACATACCATATCATTGTCCACACCTCATATCTTTGTTAGGGGGTCAGTCTATGTTTGACCTGATGAGGTACACTGAACAGGTTCTGTTGAGGGGGTTGGTGAGGAGGCTGCTGCTGATGAGATTGCTGGAGGTGGGCTGTATTGATCTGAGAGTGTAGACCCTAAAAAGAGCATGGGAGAGATAGTAGCTGATTAAACCAGTGTGATGTAATCATGACAAGATGTAAAGATAACCAATAGTGAAAATGACTGACTGTGACCTGCCATACTGCTGATTGTTTGGAGGAGACTCCGTGCTAAGAGGCTGGAGGCTGAGGAGCGCAGACCTCCGCCAAGCAACTCATTTCCACCATATTGTGATTTCCAACCAATATGAAAGTCCTGCATTGCTGCCTGGCTGCAGCTTCCTCCTGAACTACTGAGGAGACAGCGGTGAGGACTGAATGGAGTCAGAGCTCAACATATCCTCTTTGGGTTACAAAAACAAGCCTGGCAGAACTTTCCCCCTCAGCACTAGAGGCTATAACTTATGAGAGGATGCTCACTTCACTTCGTCAGTCAGCTTGCAAAAATACACACAAACGAATACCGCAGCAAAACCTACTCACCAGACCATCAGTTGTTGAAGTCCTCCCTCCGGTCTTCGATTTCTGAACTAGCAGCGCATGCGCTTAGCTCCAGGGCACGTCTGGGCACCTCAGGGCAGTGAGGGACGTCTACGTGGTCATGTGACCGACTGAGGGTAGATCTGAATTATTATTTTTGATTCATTTATTATTTTGGACCACACACACACACACACACACACTTACAAAACAACAACAACAAAAAGACAACAAAAAAGAAAAACAACTTTGACAAAGGGCAGTTTCGGCATCAAGGGCCAAAGGCCTGCTGGACCTACCTGATGCAATTAGATTGTTTAATAAAACCAGGGATCCACTAACCACCCTCCTTCCCCATCCACCCATGTCCTACCTCCCTCCCTGCCCACCCATCCCCCTACACTCCACCCTCCCCCTCTACCCACCCAGATCCTCCCTCCATCCCCCCACCTCCCTGTCCACCACATCCTCCCTCTATCCGTCTTTCCATCCAATCTTACAACACTTGCTCTCACACATCCACGCCACCCTTAACCCTCCCACCACGCCTTGTGAGAAACACCCTGGGCGGACAAGAGAACGATGAGCCCAAGATCCAGTGGATCGCAGTGGACTGTGTCCTCATTGCTCCTGTTTTTTCTACCTGATACAGGCTTCATATATTTGTTGCTGTGGTACTTATTCCTGAGACCCATAACAGTATCACTGCTGTGACTGTACTAAAGAGAGTTCTTATTGAGATTTCTATTACAAGTTTGTTCTATCCTTTCTCATAATTTCACTAATATTTGAATTTAAATAGCCATTAAAGTTGATTAAAAGTACAATACATAAGATGTTAATAACTAAAAATATACCACTTTAAAATTAATGTTTGGTTTAAAAATGTAACGCACTTTATTGCAATGCTTTATTTTATTGAAGAATGTAACAGTTCACATGACCACAGTGTAGTTAAAGGCCACACCTGTGCTATGCGGTCAGACTTAATACGACATCTGTATAACGTGTGGCCTTCATTTCATCGGACCAATGTAGTTAAGGCTGCAAAGAGCTATTTTTGGTTCCAGTTATCATCTTTATTTGTCTGAGTGGATGGTAACCTTAGCTACCAATTATTGGCATCATTAACGGATGTTGCTTACAGTATGTTCCTCTATTCACACTTCAGAAAATAGAAAAAAATAATATATGTAAAAATATATATATATATCCATCCATGTGTAGCTCATATACATCATCAATGCAAAATCAAGACCTCAGAGTTTTAGGTGCTGACTCTCATCCCAGCCACTTCACACTCGGCAGCAAGCCGCTCTGGTGAAGGCCACTGGTCTGATGAAGCCAACAGTACCACGTCGTCCACAAAAAGCAGAGATACGATCCTAAGGACCCCAAAATGGACACCCTCCTCGCCCCAGGTGTGCCTTGAGAGTCTGTCCATGAACTCCGCAAACAGGAGACAAGGGGCAGCCCTTACAGACACAAGTTCCCCATGTGTGCCTCTGGAGCAGAGCGTCCCAGGTGTGGGATAGAAGGAACGCTCCATCATCTCTATCGATTGTATGTGAGCCTCGCTTCCTGATTTCAATGGCCTCCCGAATCCAGCGCCAGAGGCCACACTTCTGAAGAAGGCGACAGATAAGATGCCGAAACATGTCAAGGTACAGCTAACAACTTTACACCATTTGTCCTACTACAAAGAAATCCTTTAGTCTAGCTTCTTGACTACCTCGGCAACCTCTGCCATGGATATGGGCAAAGCGTCCTCCAAGTCTTCAGGCTCTGCCTCTTCAGCAGATGGCATGTCAACCAGGTTGAGGAGTTCCTTTAAGTGCTCCTTCTGCCGCTCGGCAGTGTCCCCAGTCCGGGTCAGCAGTTCACAAATACAGAAATTTATAAAATGTCTTTTGTATCTATTCTAATATGTACATGTAAAAGCAGGATAAGGACAGTGTCTTGGCTATTTGTTGCAAAATAGTGCAATGTTTCCTCATGTGGCTCACACACAATCCATCCAATGGAGTTGTTGAGAAATTTCAGATAGATATATTAAAATTCAAGCAATCTGCAAAATTATTGTGGTCACACTACAACTAAAGTCAGGGAATCACCAGAATCTGTAGAATTTACCCTCTGAGGACCATGGATGTCTGTACAAAAATACATGTCAATACATCTGTAAGCTGTTGGGATTTTAAGAACGTGATAATGAAAGAAAAGGACCAGAGATCCAGGCGTTCATCTCATTTTGCTGACTGTACTGTACAGCACAGACGGATCCTCCACAGTTTCCTCACCACTAGTTCTGAGAGCGGGGGAAAAGACAACATTAAATTAATGTGGAATCAGGGAAATCGTAGTATTACCAAATCCACATTTCCAACAATGACAGGAATGTAAACAAAACAAGCAAATGAAATGGCAATCATTTTTATATTTAGATGTTTCTTTCTTTTAAATGCATGTCATTTTGAAGCTTAGATGAGGATGCTTCTCCTGTGATAAGAGCTGCATACCTCGGGGCAGAACTGTTGAATTTAACGGCAGCATATTCTACTGTCTCATCCTCTTTGTCCTTATGTCTGTGGAGTCCAGCGGCTCTAATGTTGGCGTAGATGTTATCTGTCTGGTTCCTCAAGAATCTCACACTGGCATAATGAAGACCTTCCTGCTCCTCCGGGGGACTGGGGGGAAGCTGCAAAGACATTTATTTGTAATGTATTTGTTAATCTTCATTTCCGTCTGTACATCAGTGTGAACTTTGGTAGAACCTTGTTTGGGACATCCTACTGATCTATTCAGCCATTGTTTTTGCTTCATTTATTCTTGTCCCACTCATGGCGGCAGCAGCCTAACCAAGGTTTCCAAGAAGTCCGTCTTCACAGCCATGTCCTGCTGTGTAAACGGGATGTTATGGCCTTTTCCAACCCAGGCATGGTATTTAATATCACCTCTGTCTTCCTGCTCTGCTGTGTGTATCAAAGTTCCATATTTACAAGTTCTATGAAAATAATGCCTTCCTGCCTGAAAATGGCTTAGATGCAAATCTACGCCATTGAGTCCTTCAGAATGAGCAGATATGTAGAGTCTCTGCCTTTTTTCCCACTCACCATTTCACCACGCGCTTCATCTTGGGCACACCAGCTCACCTATGACGCTGCTCAAGAACTGTGAAACTACTGTACATTACACGATGCAAGTTGTAATATTGGAGTAAATTAGTCATGCACGTTTGAACTGGAATTTCAAAGAAGAATAATGATACAGAAAGACCTGCAAGTTGACTTTTGTTTATCATGTATAAAACCCTTGAAAGTCTGAATCCCTGTTTATGAGACGGTCATTGGTACAGGGCACTTTCAGGGTGGCAATACTCAGCTACAGCAATGACTGCTCATGATGTGTCATTTACAGTGTATATGGACACTTCTGTCTTCATAGCTTCTGATATGTTGCCACCATCTAGTGGCAACACAATGAACGTACCACAAGATCACCAAATGTATGTTCTTTTCCAACAAGTCCAGGAAACACATGAACTCCCTCAGTTTCCTTGCATGAGAGCAACAGAGCTGGTCCTGGATTCCACAACCAGTTCCATAGTTTTTCTGACTTTCCTCTAACCATTAACCCTAAATGAGCTTGTTTGTGGCTGTCTGTGCGATAATCTAATTCACTTTGGACACCTCGCCTCTGCATGTGAATTTGTCAAGTTTCACTCAGTGACTATGCAGTGTGATTTGAACTCGGGAAAAATCACAGAACTGTCGTGTCTCACCTGTTCACTGTTAACAGATCTTTCTCCAGGCTCAGATGATGGCTCCGACGAGCTCTTTTTTCTGGTTAGAAGAAATATTAAAAATGTAAAACTTTAATTCATTTACCAAACTGCTTTTTAAGATGACTGATTTTCATGTATTTCATATACAATTGATATATAGTCACCTTATTAGCAGGACAATGGAGAGGAGTATGATGGTCAGGAAAACAACAGAAGCTGTTCCAATGACTGCTGATCTCCACGCCTCTGGGGGAATTGGGATACAATAAAAAATAATAATAAAGATTCAGGTTTTGCTAGAAAGGTCATACAACAGCAACTTTTTTTCTTTTTATATATATAAAAAGTTACCAATTTATTAAGTGCACATGGCTCAAGTTAATGCAAATATTGGCGATAACTGGATATTGTGATAATCACTGGTTGGCAGCTGTCTCCGGTTGTGATGGTGAATGTAGACAGGACTGGAAACAGGTGGGTGGGAAGCAGGATCACCTGCCTTCAGTGATCCACTTGCTTCCATATAGGCCGAGCTCAGACTCACACTCATCACCAGATTGTAGACTCAGCTCCACACTTGGTCTTGCACAGGCCTCTACATACACATTGTGTTCTCTACCATTTCACTCCCACTAATATTTGTCTGCTCTGCCAACAGCTCTCTGACCAGCCTCCTGCCTTGTCTCCCTCCTGCCACACCTGAGGAAACTCTTCCAAAGGTCACAAGGTTTCCCACCACCATGCTCCTGCTACAAAGCATCGACCTAAAGCCTGGGCGGCTGTGGCTCAGGTGGTAGAGCAGTTGTCCTCTGATTGTAAGGTTGGCGGTTCGATCCCCCTCCACAGTCGAAGTGGCAACACACTGAACCCGAAGTTGCTCCCAATGGCAGGCTAGCGCCTTGCATGGCAGCTCTGTTGCCATTGGTGTATGAATATGTGTGAATGAGAAACATTGTAAAGCACTTTGAGTGCTGCTAAGGCTATATAAGTGCAGACCAAAACCAGTGCTTAAGCTATGGGGGCAAACTCTCTGCAGCAGTCTTAACATAGCCCAGTGCAGCGTGCCTCAGTGCAGTCGCTTCAGTCATTAATCTTCTGCTTTAATTCCTAGCCTTGCCTGTGTCACTAACATCTACCCCCATGTAAACAACCCTCCACCTATACACAAGCGGATGCCAGATTCTCAATAAGTTACAGTGCAGATGTCACGTCTGCTACAACTCCCATCAACATCCCAGCACCGAAACATGCACTCAGAGCCTATCCAGCCACTTAATTTCCACATGAAGCTCCTTCAAACAGTCTCCACCCATGAATCATCTCACTTTTCCCAGCAAGTGCTATTAAGGTCACTTGTACCAGCAATTCGTTCTTCTGTCACTACCCAAAGCTCATGACCATAGGTTAGGGATGCAATGTAGATTGATGAAAGCTTCGCATCCAGCTCAGCTCCCTCCTCATCACAGTGGTCCAGTACAACACCCTCATTCCTGCTGACGCGGCACCAAGCTGCCCGTCCATCTCATGCTCCATTCTTCCATCACTCGTGAACAAGAGTCCAAGCAGCCGTCAGCTCTCCACAGACATGCTCCTTCTGTCGGTTTTGGGGGTTTCTTGGTCAGCAATAGGTTCCAGGCCATAGCTTCCTGAGTTCTCGCAGTTCCGTCAAAAACGTCTCCATCCATCTTCAGCAGTATTCAAAATCTACACCATTGTGATCGTGACGCTCTCCTAGGGCCACAAACGAAGTAGAAGTCCATCCTTATTCAATCCGATAACTTTGCCCTCATCAGTTTAGACAAAAGTCGAACCTACTCTCCCACAGTCATGCCCTTCGAGCTGCATCTCACATGGCAGTCAGCCTCCAACCTGTTTCCCCTCTTCGCCAAACATTTCCTGGGCCACTACAACAATATCGCTGACTCCTTACTCTCCCTCTATAACAGATTCTGTTCTGTCTTTCCATCATTCAATGTAACTGCACATTCCAACTCCCTCTCATATTGCTCATCTCCATCTGGGAATCAAAACACCCACGATACCTTTGCAACATAACTGATTAATAACGATCAATTATGTAGGTCTTCCTTGGTTCCTGCGATGCACAAAGTTCATTGGAACATCGACCGGCGAGTCAGTTTCAATCTGCACCGCCATCCAACCGCACCCCTATACTGTCTCCTGAAACTGACCTTTCTCAAACGAAGCCAAACCAATTGAGTGGGCAATCCAATGCCCATTATTTACTTGAAACTAGATTCACACATAAGCCCTTACAAATCTCTAGAACACCATATACAAACCAGAAAATCTCAGGAAGCTTTGCCTTCTGAATATCAGTTTGTTCCAGAGACCTGTCAAGTTGCAGCCTTGTCTCAATCCCTCTTCCACTTTAAGCAAATCCTGACGGCATCCAGAATCCTAGCATGCTCTCCTCACTCCTTCCATATGAATGCAGCTTTGAGTTGATGGGTTTCACACCACCTAATCAACACCACAGGCCTCAAGCGTACCTGCTTTCATCTGCTCCAACCCTCGAGACCTAAGTTACGCCTTTTGGGTCCATCGCCCCAGGAGCAGCTGCTGATCCTTGACTAAGCTTTTCCCCACATTGCATCAGCTCAACTCAGTCATCACCAACATTATGCTCTTTTGTAGCCAAGAAACAATCAAGCCTTAATTTGGTGGTGAAGTCCTTGCTAGAGAAATGAGGAGAAAATCTTTAGCTGAAGTTCAGGAGCAGGACCACATCTCAATTGCTTTCCTTCCTGTCGTCTGTCTATACGCACACTCTGCCCGTTCCACTATTTCATTCTCACGTCTCGGGTTCCATCCACCCTACCTTTACTTCTGACTCCTCTTCCTGTCGTCTCCTTTTCCAGCCACTGCTGATTCCTGACTAAGCTTTTCCCAAAACTGCATCAGCTCAACTGACTCATCACCAACAAATCCTCATTTGCAGCCAATGAACAATCAAGCTCCAAATTGATAGTGAAATACTAAATATGTAGTTTATCCGTCAGAATGCAGTTGTTATTATTAATATGCAGGGAAAACAAAATAAGTGGTAAAAACTAAAATCTGTGAACATAAATGTTCTATTTGTAAACAGGATGAGAAACTATTGGTAGTGAGATATTTTAAATATTTACCTGCCACAACATTCAGAGATATGGTGAATGTATCACGCCCTCTTGTGTTCTGAGCTTCACAGTAATAATTCCCACTGTGTTCAGTTCTTAAGTCAGTGATGGTGAAGATCTGTCCTGATGCTTTTGGTGAGTCTTCGTTCTCCTTGTACCAGGTGTAAGTAGCTGCTGGGTTAGCATCACTGCTGCAGGTCAGATTCACTGAACGTCCCTCCACTATCTCAGCAGAGGGACTCACTGACACAGAGGGAGGCTTTGGAGGATCTAAACAATATAGGGATATACTTCCTTTAGATTACAATGCAAACTACAGACAGACTTTTCTCAAGACTTTCAATCACAAATACTTACACTGGACATTGATGAACAGAG